ATAATTAAAATATATAATATTATCTTTATTTTAATATAAAAAATAATTAATTTTATATATAATTAGAAAAAAATATATATTAAAATATGTAATATTATTTTTATTTTAATATAAAAATAAAAAATATTTATTAGTAAAATTAAAACTTTTATATAAAAAGAAAAATTTTTGATTGTTATTATAGAATATATCAGAATGGTTACCAAATATTTGGATCACATAATAATTCTTTGATAACATTAATAATGTGAAAAAGATTAAAGTTTGAATCTGAATAAAGTTTATTTGACAAACAAAAAATGTATTTATAGTAAAATTTTGCAAGAAATATTTTTTATTAAAATATAAAAGATAGTTTTATAAACTAGATTTTGAGATATAGTTTTTTTTAAAAATATGTCTTTGTTTTATTTATTTTTGAATTTTTGTATTACATATTGATCTTGCAATTTAATTAATTATCATTGCTGATATCACCAAAAAATTATTACATGATCTGAACTTTTAAGATCATTATTATAATTAGATTCTTAATAAATATTATCATAATATAGATATTTAATCAATATCTAATAATGATAATTTTACAATTACTCAATTTTGTCATAATCAGTATATTTCAGGATCATCATGCAGTGTATTTTTTTCTATTTGTTAGATAGATTCTCACTATTACTAATGGATGTTATATCTACTTAGAATGAAATAATTCTATAATAATACAATACTAATATTTTATAATAACTTGACAGTTATTAATAATATGCAATAAATGCAAGTATTTAATATGAGATTATTTATTATTTAAAATTAATTAATATACAAATTTTATTAACAATAAATAATAAATAGTTTATTAACTAGCTAGATTTTTGTAGTAATTAATTGATACTTTTTTCAAGATTTCAATATTGTTTTATTTATAATAAATATTTTTTATTAATAAATATTATATTAATAATAAATTATATGAAAATTATAAAAATAATAATATTTATAAAGAATATAAAATTTATAATGTTTTTAGAGTTTTAAAAAATTATAAAAATTATAAAAATTATAGAAATTATAAAAATTATGAAAATTATAGAAATTATAAAAATTATAAAAATTATAAAAATTTCTAATTGTAATATTATCCTAGTAAATTCATTATTATATATAATTTTATTAATAAAATATAGTAAAAATTAAAATTTTTATTTTATAAAAGCTTTCAATTTTATTAACAAATATTTTTTATTTTTATATTAAATAAAAATTATAATCTTTAATATATATTTTTCTAATTGTTTAGATTTAATCTGACAAAGTTTTAATTATAAAGTTATTTCAAACTTTTTTATAATTAAAATATAAAATTAATTTTGTAATAATTTTGCAATTAAAATAACTTGATCAGATTTAATTTAAAAATATATATTAAAATATAAAAAATATTTATTAATAAAATTAAAACTTTTATATAAACAAAAATTTTAATTTTTATTAATAAAATTAGAGAATTATTATTGATATTTCTTATTTTGTGTTATTGACATTTTTCATATAATTCAAAATAGATCAGTTTGAATTAGTGAATTAGTTCAAAAATTATTTCAAATTACTTAATTCAGAATTATGTGTTTATATAGTTTACAATAATCATATACAAGTTATATCATAATCACTTTTTACAGATTTTACAATAATTATTAACTTTTAATTATCAAATAAACAAAACAAACAATAAAATAATTTAAGTAAAAAAATAATAGTATATCTAGTAATATGATTTTAAATAATTTAAATGAAATAAACAAAAAAAATAATAATATATCTAGAAGTAATTATAAAATAAAATAATTTAAAATAATTTAAGTAATATAAACAAAAAAATAATAATATATCTAAAAGTGTAATTTTAATTATAAAATAAAATGATTAATTACAAAATAAAATAATTTAAGTAAAATAAACAAAGAAAATAATAATATATTTAAAAGTATAATTTTAATTATAAAATAAAAAAATAATTCAAAATGTTTAAAATGCTTTAGTGAAATTACAAATAATTAAAGATAGAAAAGATGAATTATATTTAATACTCTTAAAAATAAAACTATTATTTATATACAAATATATTTTTTCATCATAATTTTCATTTTACTTATTTCTCTAGATATTGTTACCGTTTTTATTGATATTAAGTTTTTGATGTATTAATCACATGTCTTATTAAGAAAAGATTAAGTTCTTATAATGGGAGAAACTAAGATTTATCACTAAAGATAGGTAACGTGTGTTCTTGTTGTGACGAGCTAGAATGATGTCAAATAACTTCACTAAGTTTTGTATATTATTTAGAATTTCAAAGGTGATGATACAAACAATAAGTTTTATCAAGTGACTGTCTTTCAAGTCAATAATAATGATTTATTATAAGCAATCTATCTTTCAAGACCAAAAACCAATATAAATATATAACTTTACAAGTTATTCAAAGTTTTTATCAAACAAGAAACTAATTAACTATCTGACTTGATTCACTTTTTGACTTGATTGATTATTATTCTAAGCTAAGATACATGGTATATTTATATAAATTATATGTTATATAATATAACTAGTTCTATTGTTGTTGTTGTTAAGTTAATTAAACACGAGTATTATCAGCGTTTCTGGTGTTAACACGAGTGTTGATGTCATTGTCATCATTGCTGTCGTTGCTGTTGTTACTGGTGTTAACACAAATTTAAGAACCAATAATATCTAACATATAATTGTCCAATAAAATAATAACCATCTAAAAATAACTATTCAATAGAAATACTAATAAATATAATCCAATAATAATTAATATAAATTTTATCCAATAAGATTGTTTGTTAAATATCATATTATGACAATATAAGAACACGTAAATAAAAGACGCAGTTATAATTAGTTATAATGATAATTGGATTATATAGATAGTTTGATAATATTCTACTTTCTTCTATCTCTTTCTATTTTCTTCTTTTTCTTCTCATATTACCTATCTTTCTATATTTATCTTACTGTTATCTTTATTTGAATATATTAATCACGCTATTTTCTTGGCAAATTTTATCATTATCTATATTAGTTTAGTCTTTATTTTCTATTTTTGCTATTGGTATTTAGATGTAGAACAAGATTATTAATTATGATGTAGTTAAATTTCGTGTAATTTAGAAGAGAACCAGTAATTTCATAGTATTAGTGAAGATCTACTGTGCCACATGCTGCGCTGCAACTGCGCCACGCTGCGCCATACTGCGCATTACTGCACCACATTGTGCCACTGTAACATGAAAATATGTATAAATACAAGTGCTGATAATTAATAAAAATCAAGTTCTCTCAGTTTGATTTAAGTTCTTTAGTTCTTATTTTTAGTTCTTAAGTTTTGATTTTGAGTTTCTTTTGGTTAAATATTGAGTTTGACATGTTAAATTGATTTTATTTTGGAATTATAAGTAATTTTTGGTTAAGTTTATCTTTTAGTTTAGTCTTATCATTAGTTTATTCTCATCTTAGTTATTTTTATCTTGTTAAGAAACATCATTTTATCATCACAAACATCATTTAGTTATAATATTGTTATAATTTAGATTTTCACTAAATTATAAAGTCATGTGCCGTTAAAATCTTATATTTTTATTGATTATATTTTATTTATATTTTATTGGATATTATTTTTAGTATGCTAAGTTACACATTACTTGGTAACACATTTAATGTTGCCTTGGTTATATTCAATGATGCCTATACAACATCAATATTAACTAGGTAGCTTGATGATGTCTATGTTTCATCATGATACCTATGCATCATTAGTTAAATATGATTAGTTCTCTAATAATAACTTAATAGCGTAAAATTTGTATAAATATAACATGTATCTTAACTTAGAAAAACATCAATCAATATATCTATCTTAATCATCTTATCATATCTTAATCTTCTCACATTTTTATCTTTTGGATAATAATCTTTTATCTTCTTATCTTTTAATTTCCTTTGACAAAATCTTCTTAGAAGTGAGTCGTATTATAACTCTTGAGTTGAAGATTTTCAGTCAAGCATTAATTTCCTTTTTATTTTCTTACTTGTATTCTTTTATTTTAAAAGACCTTTCATCTGTAATAGGCGACGTCTTCTATTTGATATAATTAACCTCTCGTCACCACCCTGCAAAGTTAATTATCATTAATTAGAAACTTAATAAAAGAAAAGATATTATTTTAAAGTTAATCAATTAAAAGAAGATTACTTAATAATAAACCATCCAAATTAAAAAGAAGATTTCTGAGCTCATTCTAGCTGCTCAACAAAACAAATACTTCGTTACCTATCTTTAGATAATCAATTATAAAACTTTTAGTAAATTAGTCTTTCCCAACCTTAAAGTATTTAAAATACGTAAAAATCTTTATTAACTCTCCCACTTAATTAAGACACGTGAAGAACACGTGATCTATATTCGAAGAATTATAAACCAACTAAAACGGTAACAGTACTAATAATGGCTAAAGAAAAGAATCTAGTGCTGGTAAATATTATTTTTTTTCCTATACTTCCTGTAAGCCCGCTAACCGTTTATATTACCCTAAGCTTCTTCGACCGAGCAACGTGCGGTAGGTTTTATAAATCTTTTCTTTCTTAAAATTTATCGATGATTTTGTAAGAAAGAAAGACGCGTCTGCGGTAGACTGTCACGTTCTATCGGAAGCCAATAATTTGGCAAGTCACATCGTCCAGTTGGTGGCCGGCTGAATTCTGGATATAGAGTTATTAAGTGTTTGTTGGGCACGCAAGGCGTCTGCGGTAGACTGTCATGTTCTATCGGAAGCCAATAATTTGGCAAGTCACATCGTCCAGTGGGTGGCCGGCCTTGAGTAAACAACAGCACACTTTAATTGTTATTTATTGACTTTAATCAAACAATGTACTCAACACTTTTTTTGTTAAAATTTCCGTTTGTCGAGATATCGAATATGAAACCTGTACGTGAACAAATGAAAAAACGAAACCTCGATTGGATGATTGCGTGTAAAAACCCCACGCCGATAGAATTCTTTCGTTTTATTCAACCGACACATAAAGCTCGTGCGATCGAAAAGTATGGAAAAATTCTCAGTGAAGCTATCAGGTTGTGTAAAGTTCCGGACGAACAGTCGAAACTAAAAAACATCAAAGAAACCGTTAATGTACGTGATCAAATGTTCTGCTTAAAGCATATTTGGAAAGCAATACTTTTAACATCTGTTTTTTTTTCACAAAATAGTGCAATTCAGCTTGGGATGTGTGGCTATTAGAGAAAAGAGCGGTATGTTCAAACATAAAGTTTCGACAAGGTTCTTGGCTAACCATGATATCTTCAGATGAAGATTCGTAACGAGGTCCATGAGACAAATGCTGAAGTTCATAGTGAATTAAACAAGGTCGTCAGTAAGAGGGCAATAGAACCGAATGAAGAAAGCTTGCGAAAAAAACAAAAACAATTGGATGGTAAGTTAAATTTGCGATTGTTCACGAAACATTTATGTAGATCCTTATAAACATTTATCAATCAAAGAACAAGAGGATGACGATGAAGATGTATATTCATCTAACTATGCATCATCTTCCCTTACGAACAAGTCACAATTGGATGGTGAGTTAAATTTCCGATTTTCCACGAAACATTTATGTAGATCCTTATAAACATTTATCAATCAAAGAACAAGAGGATGACGATGAAGATGTATATTCA